CAGCCGCTCTATAAATGCATCTATATGTATCCTAATCCACGCATTATAATTTACACCAATAAGTAAGGTACCTATTCACTATAACCATATTTTATTTTTTTAGTCAGCACTCAGCGAGTAACTGTTAAGCCGTAATATAGGGTAAGACTACTTGTATCTAAATAAAAACATGATGAAAATGATTTTTACCTCGGACGAATGGTTGAGAACATTACAGGGCTTTTTATTACCTATTGGATTTAAAAATAACTTTTTAATAACCTCCATGCTGTTCTTGCAGGCATACAGGAAATAATATTTCCGCATTTTAATATACATCTACTAGGGGAAAATAATATTGTTTTGGTGTACTTACTTCATAAGATTTTTTTTAAATAAATACTACAGAATCCTTATTACTGCAAAGCACATCATTTCTCAAACATTCAGTTTTAACGATTGTGTTACATAATGGAGCGCTAAGATTTCATAATAATATTTATTATACGTAATCAAACTAGAGCCTATATTAATCATTATTTAAATTTTAATACTTTAAAATCTTTATAATCATAATTATACATTTTATTTAGGTACTACATAAACTATATGTAATTACCTAATACCTATATAATAATTTTCAGCATTTTTTTTAAATGTACGATTTTTATTTTTTGATTAAGTGATAATTTTAATCAATAGCAAATTGCATTAATCATTACAAAATTGAATACAAAAAATTATATTTTTTTATCGTAGCCATTTAAAAAAAAAAAAAATTGGTAAGTCAGACCGTTCTGCTGTGCATAAGGTGTCAAGTTATTCACTGTAATAGGTGTGTTAAATTTTAATTCAATGATATATTATCATTGTATACGAAAAACGATTCTGAGCGAATACAGTGTACCAATCATTCTATATCAATAAATATATTTTTAATACACGTAATTTTAACACTAAACTTAAACTAAAAATAAATATATAAAATAAACGTGATTGTATATTTTTAAAAATTTTTAATTCCAGTATGAACAACAAGAAAAATTATATTAAATTTATGTAGATTTTCTAAATTTTTTTTCTGCAAAATACTTGTAATTAGTAAATTTTTGGGATTTTGAGTAAACCAAAGTAGGTAAGACATAGTTTATTGACTAAATTAATTAATTAATAATTTTTCAACACTTTATAATAAATTATAAATGCGATGTACGTTAGAAACGTTTAGAATCAAAATATTGAAATAATGGTGCAACAGTGACAAATAAATATATTGTATACACTAAAAAACGATTTCCATAACCAAAAAATGTCTATTGTTTTTATATCAAAAATAAATTTAAATTTAAAAAAATAATCTATGCCAAGGAATTCAAATTTCAAAACCAGATAGATTGTAAAATATAAATAAACAATTTAAAAATCGCAATGGGTAATTTATTTTAGATTATGAAAATCACTAGAAGATATAGAATTTAATAATATATTTTTATGTACAATAATAAAATACGTAATATGAAAGAAAAATTTCAAAAAAAGTATGTAATTGCTTTATATTTATGTGTATAAAATAAAATAATCATATACCTATGTTATAAGTTTCAAGTATACAGGAATAATATTTTTAAATTACAATAAAATAATTATAATCATTATGATTTATGCGACGTTTAAATATCTATTATTTCGAATTAATTTGAACTTAAAATGCTAATAAAAAGAAGTCATACTTTACGTATGTATCTTTTCAAGATTTTAACGAATTTTATCAAAAATCTAACATTAGATATGAAAAATAATATGGTTGATATGTATCACAGATGTTTATTAATTGTTAAATAAACAACTGATGAAGAATCTAATACAAAATTTACAATATTTTTCAATATTTATATAAAAAAAAATTGAATAGGTACTTACTTCAAATGTCTATAAGTAGCTCAAAATAAGTCAAATTAAGTTAAGAGGTACCTAATTATTTTAATGGCAATTGTATATACCATATTATATATTATAAGATGATAATATCAATTCACCTAATATAATATTTTTTAATATTCATTTGATGAAAACTTCAAATAACTTTGAATATTAGTTTTTTAAATTAAAAAGAATAAAATAAATTTTGTCGAAAATGGGTTGTGCGTAAAAATTCCCCTTTTTCCTTAATTTTTTTGTTTTTCTTGATTATTTTGAGGAAGCATTTTATAGATTACTTATCGTGTAGGTACAAATAATAAAAATCAAAATATAATAAAAAACACACATCATTATTGTAAAATCAAATCACTCATCGCTCAGCTCAGAATCTAAAATTTCTCATTTAAATGATAACACATATTTTTTTTAAACTCTAGGTATTAAATTAAATTAGTAAAAATAAAATAAAGATTATGACGAAACTTTGTTTACCAGCATTGGATACGGATTTCTCCATTGGCACTCATTACATCATCTACCTATGTTTTTGACAACCAACGTAATATCTTTGAACCACGTGTATTATAGCGGCAGCAATTAAATACCTACGAGATTTTCTTTCTGGGATTTTATAATATAAAAATAATAGACATTATCATTTATTTGTTATAAGTAATATAGGTAAGATAAATTAGAAAAAATGATAATAATTATTATGTGTTTGATATAATTGAGTCATGTTTGATGTTAGTATGTTACTGAACGTTAAAACTTTTTTTTTTACTTTGAACGAAATTATTTGTACAAAATGAACTTTAATACACAAGAAAAAAATAATATAATGATATGTCTACTAATATCTAATAAGTTATGGGTACTTACCTAAAGTTTTTTTCTTAGTAAGAACGCGTAGAGCGACCAATATTTCGGTATATGCTTAATTCCTATATTAATTATAATAGGTGTAGGTAATAATAATTATACTCTGTGGTTAGTGGAAACCTTTTAATAAATGGAAAAGGGAAAAAATATGATTTTCATAAGTCAAAACGAAAATAATGTTTGAGCCACTCGCTATGGCAATCTGTAAGGAGGTTGATAAAAGATGAAGTTAAGCACATTCCGAATCATAAAAAATCTATGCCAAAAAAATGTACTTGAAACTTTATAGTTTATATATTAGTAGAGATAAATAGAATGTTTTGAAGTAATAACTGCAAAAAAACACAAAAATACAATTTTAATTTCAAGCATCCATCGAATATTATTTCATTTAAACAAAAATAAACTGATGTTTGTGGAGATTGTTTGAGTATACCTATGCAAAAAATTTAAAAGCACTTCGGATAGAATAAATAACAGTAATACTGCTCAATATTCAAATTACAACACCTCAGACTGGATATTAATGATCAATGATTACAGGTACCAACATATAAATATTTTAAATAATAAATAACTTAGTTAGAAAGGTGACAAAACTGTACCCAGTGATCAATGCTAAGTATTCTATTAAAAGTCCAAGCCTGTTGTCCGAAACCAATAGCTATATTATATATCGTAGGTAATAGCTATAGCTCACACAGTCACACCAGGGTCGGCCAAACAGTCGATCGTCGATCGTGTTAAAATTTATTTTCAAGCTACGCACACGAAAATTAATTATGGTGCTATAGGTAGTGTCTTAATTATAAAAAAAACTTTTTTTATCGAAGTTGATCCTCGAAGGTGAAGTTTATTTTTAGTAGATCGCGAACAAAAAGTTTGGACGTCCCTGGCTTATACAATATACCTAGATTTTCTAGTTAGTATATACCAATGTGAAATGTCATTATATTTGTAGTTCATAAGCTTTTAACATGATTGAAATAACATTATTTCTATGTTTGATTTAACTACTACATTAATTTAGTATATAATCAACAGTTTATTCCTAATTAGTATTTAAAGATATAGATACCTATGTTAATTGTTACCTCAGTAAATGCTATATCATTGATGAATGTTCTAAAATTGGTTATTCTTGCTACAACAGCTATTCAAGACAAATATAAGCAATTTTTATAACTCATTAATCTTGTATAAACTTTTTTTACATAAAAATAAGCCAGATTTACAAAATATTGTTGGCACTAGTTTCAGTTTACTACTACCATTTTAAATAGTATGTAATTTATATGCTCTCGTCTAAATTCTACAGACCTTAAATTCATATTGTTTTGCTTAATTAAGATTGTATTTAAGATTGATGTAGTAAAGTGCACTTTAAAATTGTTGTGAACAATATTTCAGAAACTATTAAAAGTTAACTAATAACATATTTGTATTCTACTTAGTGAATAAAATAAAACATTACTCTTGTTAGTATGAAAATAAAATAAAAAATATTAAAATATAACTAGATAAAAATAAGAAATCATTACATAAAGTATAAGGAAAATGGAACTAAACAAATAGAATAACATAATTTATATCTGATTAAGCTTTAGTTTTACGTGTCCAATAATTTTAAATTTAATGCATTAAATTATAAAAATAATATCAACCTATACATTGAAATCCATTAAACAACACAGAATAATTATAAAATAAAGTAATAAATATTATTTATTTTGTTTTATACAAAAAAAATATATATATATATAGTTATTTAATAGTACAAAATAAAATACATAATTAGGATCGAAAATTATTATCTTATATTAGATCTTACTAATTAATAAAACTAATAAGATGTAAGAGTATTATAAATTTGATAAAAAAAAAAAAAAAAAAAATGGATTACAACTATATTATAAATAGCTGACTTGGTAAATTTATTGATGACTCATGTAAAAATTTTCAGAATTGAAAATATGTAAAATTTGTTTGATTGAAAATTAAGATATGTTAGTCTGTACTATACACATTTCATACTTACCGGAAGTTACTAAATATTGTAATGATGAAAATAGTTTGAAAAAGAAAAATATAATAATTGTTAACTTTAATAACCACAAATCATAAAAAATTGTTGTTGTAATTGAATGTTTATAAAACACTGTCATCATTTACATTTGTTTAAAATATTTAAGCTGCTGAATAAACTAATATAATTACAAAAATTAAAACAAATTGATATACCTAAATATAAAAATGTAGAAACAATTGTTGTGAAAAAATATCTTTTGCCGTATACTCAGCTTAATATCGCAGTTTACTTCATTTTTTTTTTAAACTTACTAAGGGCGTTATTATTAGAGTTAACAATCATAAACCATAAATTAGTAACTATAAATAAGATAATTCACTAAATTACATTATACCGCCCTAATTATAGAAGTTTATATACACAAATGAATGACAGTAAATCATTGTTTTACTTTTTTTTTTAATTATTTACAATTTTATCATATATTTTAGTCATAAATTCACGACTTGACAGCGTCCTTTTTATTAGAATCATCAGAACTAACAGATTTATCTTCTTTTTCATCTAAAACAAATAATTAAAATATTATTCAAGACAATATTTAAGCATTAAGTGATATTACAAACTTAAAACATAAAATTATAAAAAGAGAACACAACTTAATTATAAACTTGCAAAATCTACTTATCTATCCATTTAAAATATAAAAAAATCTGAAATTGGAAAAATATAATTTATCATGCCACTGTAAGCAATATTATACCGATAAATTAATTATTATCTGTACAAATAATAAAACAAAATGTCAACACATGGATAATATAAAAGAGAACATCTCACAATATCCATACTCCATATATCATGTATATTAGATTAAATTTTAAACAATATTATATAAAACCATTATTTAAAAGAAAAGATTTAGCTGTCATTTATGAAGTGGTTACATTTTACAACCTTCAAACAAGATATAAGTTTAAACACTAAATAGTAAACAACACTTTTGAAAATGTATTTTTGGCTAAAGACTAGAAAATAAATTTTTATTTTTTCATCAAATTTAAATTAAAAACATCACATTAGTTAACTTAAAATGACATATACAATGAGGAATTTAAAAATTGGCATTTAGCCATTGCAGTATGACCAACAGTTTTGTTTATGTTGAAAGATTCACATTAAAAATAATTACCTTTTAAGATATTAAATTCAGGTTCATCAACTTCCATTCTATTAGAGTCCAAACGTGCTTGTTTTCTAGTAGGTGTGACAGTTTTATAAGATCTAAAATAAAAATATTATTAAATATTATATTATATATAATATAAACCAGTTGACATACCTATTATCTTTTCGGCCACCACCCCCTACACCAGGAGCCATTCCTTCATCTTCACTATCGCTAAACTCATTATCAGGTGCAATTCGTTTGTCTGTAATAGATTGAGGATTCCTTTCATCTGGATTAACATTATCTTCATCTTCTGATTCATTGCGTATACCATCTTCAGGTATAGCTAATAACAAAAATAAATTTAAAATAGTAAGTTTTATGTTAATAACTTAAAGTTTGTATCAAAAAAGTAACTAGATAATTAAAATTGAGCACAATAAAATTTACCTTGGACTTGAACTCCAGGGGCATGAGGAAGCATTCGTAAATTTTCAAAGAGTCGGTTTTTAATTTTTTCTAAATACTCTGTAGCATTTGTATTAGTCATATTTGAAGGGCTAATATGAAGTTTAAAATCTGGCCCAAAATATTCAAAGTAGTCATTATACGGCAATTCATTAGCAATTTCAGCTCCTAAGGCTACAGCTGTTTCATATGTCCAACATCGAGATACATTTCGGATAGTATAACCACCTCCGCCAACCATAAGAAAGGGTAAACCATAACGTTTCACAAATTCAACACATTTGCCATGACCTAAAAATGTTCATTTACAGTTTTAGAAGTTTGAAATTTAGAAAATTAATAATATACAAAACTCTCATACCTTTAACAGTAAGATTAAAGCATCCAAGCCTGTCTCCTGTAAGTGAATCTGCTCCACATTGTAATACAACTGCACTAGGTTGGAACGTCTCCATTACTTTAGTAATTATTGGTACGAATATTGATTCATAACTATCATCATCCATTCCATCTCTTAAAGGAATGTTAACTGCATAGTACTTTCCTTTTCCAGCACCAATATCCTAAAATATTATTTTTAATGTATAATTTAATTAGCGGACAATTAATTTGATAATTAATCAAATTATTAATTTAATACATAATCTATTGAGTTATAAAACTACATTCATAAATCTATAGAACTATGAAAATTATCATTAGAAAAGTTTTTATGAGACATCATAAAAACCAATCCATTCAAATTTAAATATTGTAACCATTCACAAATTAAACAAATTAAGATATTAAAAATTAATTTTCACTATTTATTAACTTACTCTGAGATCTCCAGTACCAGGAAAATATTCACCATATTTGTGGAATGAAACTGTCATAACTCTATCAGTTGTATAAAATGCTTCTTCAACACCATCACCATGATGAACATCAATATCAATGTACAACACTCGTTGATGGTATTTAAGCAATTCTAATATACCAAGTACGATGTCATTAACATAACAAAAGCCACTGGCTTCAGATTTTTTTGCGTGATGGAGACCACCTCCCCAATTGATACAAATATCTGCAGATTGTTTATTTAATTTTACAGCTGCTGCTACTGAACCACCCGCAGATAGTTGACAAAATTCATATAAACCATCAAAAACTGGACAATCTTCACCCACATTGACTAAAAAAGTAAATAAATTACCATTTTATTATTACTATTATTATTTAAAAATAGATTAGTTTTAGTAAAAGTGACATTATACTTACATCTTTGCATTTGTTTATTATAATCGTTCATATTATCAGGACGAATACTTCTTAAGAACCGTATATACTCATCACTATGAAATTTAGTCATTTCTTCTGCAGTAGCTTTATGAGGTCTCTAAATTATAAATAATGATTTTATAAGAAATTGAAAAATATCATCAAGACTAAATATCAATCTTAACTTACATAAATTTCCATTTTACGGTATAAACCATAATTTAAAAGTAAATTATGAGTCATTCGAATCCTATGTGGTTTCATAGGATGACCTTGTCCATAATAATAATTTCCTATGTCACCTATGAAAAATGTAAAATGGTAAATTAATTACATTAAATGGCTGTTCAAAATTTACAGAAAAAGTTGTTCGTCTATATCTATTAAAATATATAACAAAAACTTCAATAATAATTTAGTTACTAAGCTACTTTTAAACAATAAGTAATAAAAAATGTGATATTTAAGGGAGATACACATTAAATTAAGTTGAATTTTTATACTCCGATAACTCATGGGGAAAAATACATAGGTATATTTAAAATAAAACGATATCTTATATTGAACATGGTTCATAGAGATATATAGTGTATGTAAAAGTAGTAAGTTAATAGATTATATGAGAAATAAACTAAAACAATTATGTACTTATTTTATAATAATACAATAATAATAATTTTCTAATCCTGTATATTATGAATTAAAACTGTTAATATTATAGTATTATTTGAAATCAGTTATTGTATTTTTATAAAAATTTAAAATCTTGACTATTTTTTAATTATATTAAATATGATTCAATGGTATAAATTGTTATTTCTAAAATTTAGTTAGTGTTTAATAAATATCTCAACCTCTGGGATAAGTAAGTAATATTGGAATCCAGATGTAATGATTAAGGTTAATACATCAAAAACCATAAATAATTTAATTTGTTTAGTGACAATTAATATTAAAAACTTAAAATCTGACACAGCATGAAATGAATATATGCCTATATACCTTATATAATTAATAATATTATTAATATGAAAAAAACATGGCATAAATTACTTAAATTAGTTTATACTATTTTTCAAAAAAATAAATACATACTCCAAATAATTATAAGCTTATATTATATTTAAAAAAAAAAATAAAATAAAGAAAGAAAACTAACACAGATAGATATTAACACTTTGTTAGGTAAGTATTTAAAATAGGAGTATAGTAACAATTACAAATAATTTAATAATATTTAAAATTGTATTTATGATTTTATTATAAATTTCTTTTTTTTTAATGTACTGACATAAATTAGACAGGTGGGTATGTATTAACTAAATTTAAAAATAAACAATTAATTAATGGTACTTATAAATATAAAATAAATAATATACATTATAGTACGAGGTATTTATTACATATATTATATGTCATCATTTGATACCATACCTACACTAAATGTGGTACTTAAATTAATATATTTTTTTATTGCTTTCCAATAATTTTATTAAAAAAGAACATAAGGAATTAATTTAAATAATATTCATTAATTTAAAAACATGACAAACATACACAAAATGTAAAATAATATGTAAAAGGTTTATTAACTATTAAATATAATCATTAATCAATCAAGTAAATAAAAGTATAACAGAACAAACATATTTATAAAGTTCATAGATTAATTTATTTTGCATAATTATTTACTTTTCATGTTTGATAAAAAAAAAGCATAAGTTTACTTGAGTGCATTTTTCAGCAAACCTTAGATGATTGTATACAAATATTCATTGAATTATCAAATTATTCAGTAAAAACTATAAGTATTTAAATAAACTATACCAAAACTATAATCTAAGTTTGAATAGGTATTATATAATAATTTGAAATTTATATTTTACCAACTGTATTTGGGTAATTAGTCTATTCATTTTTTATTTGTAGTAATTTATATGTATTTTAAATACACATGGAAAGTTATTAGTCATATTTTAGAATTTTTATTTAATCTTATATTTGAGTAAGAATTTTATAGTTTTAACAAAAAAAAAAAAAAGGAATGATAATTTTTATATATAGATTGAAGTCTAATAAGTATGGCTGTATTTAATTTTATAATCATCAAAATTATAAGTAATTACTTGTAATCTTTATATAGAGTAATTAAAATCATCAATCATAATTAACTAGTTGATTTGTAAGCCATTTATACTTAGGATTTTTACAGATATAGAATAGATTAATGGATTAAATTAATAATTTTGACTAACATAAAATAATACTCTAATTCAAAAATGTCTTGTAATATCTTCATATTTATTTATTCTATAAGCATAGAATTTATTCTAAATGCATAGAAATACTCATGGAAATAATGATAACAATTAACTGACTAAAACAATTTAGTAACTATATTAATACCTCATATGGTTGGCTTGATTTTGATATAAAGTAGATCCAATTCATATTAGACGAATATGTAATACAGACAGAACAAGGACAAAAAGAAAAAAAAACAAAAACTATTACAGATTACAGATATAACTAAGTTTTTCTTGTTGTGTGTTGGTTATGCAGAGACAATAAATAGACCTACTAACATTATTAAACTATAGCTGACCTAACACAAAACGAGAGTAGTCATACCCATCGCTGAAGTGTCGAAAGCACTGGACAATGACAATCAGAACATACCACATATTTAACTATGAAAACAATACTCACTGTCGTAATAGTAACAGACTCGTTTCTTGAACGGTGTGATAGACATTGCGGCGTTTTACGTCTGACTGGTACTTCTTAGAGTAATTGGTAAGTATACTTGTGGCGTACGGCTAATTGAGCCCCCCCAAAAAAAGCGCGGGCCGACCAACTAGTGTTGAGATTTCGGCGACGTTTTTCCCGTCAATAATTCATACGGAAGACTAACGGCGAATTGGTATCAACAATTTTACTAGCTGCGCACGACCAACCGTTGAAAAAAATCCGTGGGAAACAAACGAAAATAAAAAACCACGGTATAAAAAATAAAAAACTTAAAAAAGTCGGCGCCGTTGACGATACACGAGCAAGACGTGCAGACCGGTGAATAGTGATTAAATAAATTTAAAAAACTTTCGGCGTCGGCGTCAACCGGGAAAATATTATTATTTACTATTTACTATATAGAACATCGCCGAATACGCGAGTCGGAAACGTAAAAAACGCACCGTACATTTTGAGCAGCTAATGTGTTAGGAGCCAATCGCGAATGGCCAGTAAACAAACAAACGCCATTGAGATAAACAGTGCTGCCGCCGAGCCGATGATCAGGTCCGGAGCGGCCGTGGCAGCTGCAAATTGCAGCTGCCACGGCCATATTCTGTTGGCCAACATGATCAAGCATATGGTCCTTATCTCAGCCCGAGGTCGTCACTGTCTCGGGTTATTTTTCGTGATAATAACATGAAAAAATAAAACGGATACGGGTTGGAAAATAAATTTTGTGTTGTACGAGTACAACGAATTTTCTAAATTTCACGCCGTTTATACATCGGGGTGACCTCAAAATGTGGTACGAAGCCTTACCTTCCGCCATCATCGTGTATGTGCTATTGAGCATACCCGACAAGATCAACTCTCTGTCGAATAAATTGGTTTACAATAACGTGAGTATCTGCTTTTCTTCATCTCATATAAAACATTTTTATGTGCCTGGAAGTAATGTGAATAAATCATTGCTATAACATTGAAGTAATTTTTATCAGGGACTATTGGATGTCTCAACTTCCACATAGATTTCATTATTTTTTTTTAAATTTAAATATTATGATTAATAAGTGACATTTGCTTAATCTATATGTTTTTATATTATCCTAAATAAGCTTATTGAATGTGTATTGTAATTTTATAATGTACAAATCTGCTTTGAATTATGTCAATAATAAATAAATTTTCAAATTTATTATGTATTTATTATTCTAGGTTTACAGACGTGATATAAGTCAACCTTGGCTCCAAAGATATTATGCTAGAGATTGGGAATTAACTGGTGATCCATACAAGGCACAAGTAATATTTTATTCTATTTCAAAATTTCATAATAAATTATCCCATACTTTACTTTATTTAAGGGCCTTGAGAGTTTATCAAATAAACCTACTGTTACTGGAATTGATTGGCAAAAATATGGAAAAGGACCAAACCACTCATTCTATGGAACTAAATTATAATAAAAAGTAATTAATTTGAAAAATGAATTGTAGCTATAATAAATGTTTTAGAAAGTTGTCTATGGAAGTTGTAAAAAATATTTATCTTGATAAATATAATTCATATGTAATATAATACTGAAATATATTCTTTGTAAATGCCAATAATTATTTTTTTTCCTTTTTTTCAGTAAACTTATTTATTGATGTAATATAAATAACATAATTGATATTTTAATTACAATATTTATACTCGTGTTAGTTTTATTGATTTAGATATTACTAAAAATAATCTATTTTTTTAGAAAATAATATGAGATATAAAACTAAGTCGAAATATTAAATAATATTTATACTGGTTGATTTGTTTGAAGAAAAATAATTTTAAGGTAATATAATATAGAATATTCAGGGTTTACTCTAAGAAAATTGTAGAACTACACGAGTAGGCACTTTAACTTAACTTGTTAACAAAGTTTGACTCGAGAAGATGCCAAAATATCCCCCTAACTAATCATAGCTAATATACTCTTCTTAAATTTAACAATATGTGACAAAATATATATTCTATATTCTATAAATTAAATTGTGCATTAATTAATACTCATAGATATGGATCAAAATATTGTTTTAAGTATATTCCCCATAAGTATTATTTTATATATCAAACAAAAATGTTAAAATAAAGGAACATTGAAAAATCATACCTGGTTATTATCATTATTGTTCTATGCAATATGGATTAATTAACATTGCTTCTAAGCATATTCTGTTTATAATTCTGAGTTTCTGACTAGAGGTATAATATTAAAGTAAATATTATTTATATCAGCTGTAGTTCTGACTTAATACTATCATGATAATATAATTTGATTATTCAAATATTATTAGGAAAAAAAATCTTTTTTCTCATGTCAACTCCAGGTTAGGTTATTCCAGGTCATATTAGAATTTTAGGCAATTAAGTAATTGATCTTATAACTTCCACCAAATATAACCCATAATTATCTATTAGAAAAATCTTGCCTTCCGATCTACTAAATATGCTCATAAGCAGTGGATATTTTAACTAATATACTGGACGACAAAAATGTTGCCTAGAGAAAACTTTTTGTCGCCTAATAGACCATATATTTAATTACTGGGCGACAACGATTATTTGTAAAAATAACAATGTTTAAAACTATTATACAATTATTTCTTATATTTTATTTTGTTATTTATTTATATCTATATTATAACGTTCGATCATTTGAATTTGGGAGTACAAATAATTATTGAAATTTTCTACAATGGGAAACCCGTGTGACCGATCTCCTTAGGTACTTATAGAATAATACGGTATGCAAGAAGCAATTTATTTTATGCGACAATGTTACATGTTTCATCTGGTCATCAATCGTTCCAATAAATATCTAAAAATTATTTTCGATTTTATTTTGGTCCTAGTTCCTACAAGCTAGTTCTTATATTTACTTTAATATGTTGTTTTTTATACTTTTATAACAAAATGTATAGGTACTGTATGTTATTGATTCTTTTTTTTAACTTAAAAGAGTAAGTTTAACACATAAATTATTTGTACTTGTTTATGTATTGTGAGTTTTAATGGTGTTGTTAGATATAAGTAAGATTTTGTATATTTAATTCTGAAAAGTATTTTTTAGGCGCATATATTGATTTAGATTATGATGTGTGCAATTTTTTTTTTTTAATGTCACCCAGTGATAATTGTTAAAAATATCCACTGCTCATAAGTCATAATAAATAACAAACATGCTTGGTGAAATACATGGTTATCGGTTATACCCGACTGCTACTTAATATAGGTTCCCTAAAATTCAAACCATATTTATATCTTATTAAAAATTTGTCAAAAAGTGTATTGTGGTTCTCATTCAAATAAAAGTTACATTTTTATCAATTATATATTTCTGTTGTTTTGTATTAACAGATTTATGTAAAAAATAAATAATAGTTTTTAAAATTATAAATGAATTTAAATTATAGAATCGTCCAATTTATATGTATACAATATACTTTCATAATTGTATTAATATGTTCACATGATTATTGTTCTTTAGAATATTAATTTATTTTCTCACTTAAATTGAGACATTAATATTATTATAGTATATTTAACAAACTAATTATGCACATAGTTGTTAAAAAAATTTAAAATTTTTAAATTTATGAAAAAAAATCCCATATTCTGTTTATTTGTCATTATACCACACAATTAAAATAATAATCTGCAAATTAAGAATCAAGTAGTCTAAATAAAAAATAATTTGTTCACAATATAGAACATAAATGTCTTAAACTGTAGTATAATATTTATCACATATCACTGTTCTTGGCTACATTAGTGAAACATACACAACAAAAATGTAATTGATATCTAATAGCTTATTGAGAAAATTAAAATCAAATTGTTTTCATTTGAAAAAAAAAACATTAAACAAACAATAATTATTCCTACTATATAAATGTAAAATACTACATAGAGAATGTAATACTTTAAATAATATAGAATATAGATGATTTAATGTAGTAGTTTGAATTGCACTTGCATGCAACCAATCATAAAATACTACAAATATTTTACTATTTTTAATGATTATCTAAGAAATTTCTTCATATTCATCTGAACGTATTGATGGAGATGGAGATGTCCTTGAACTTTCTGATCTTCTAAATATTGACGGAGACATTGCTCTCTTTTTTAAAGCTATATTTTTTTTTAATTCATCAAAAAAATATAAGTTATTATTAATATATCTGTATGTATATTTATTATTATTTTTATTTACTTGGGTAATGTTGAAGGTTTATACACATCATTATGTTTCCCTCTAGAATCTTTACTAGAAGAAACATCAATATTGTAAATACTAGAACTGCTTTTAAAGGACTGCAATGAAAATAAAAATTAAAAGTTTAAAATTATAAACAACCAACAGACATTATCTATACATACCAAATCGGTATCATTATCAAAGCTTTTTGAACTTTTAGTTAATTTCTTTAGTTTACCAAAAAGTCCTTTTTTTTTAGTTTTTTCTCCACTTACTATATCACTTTTGGAAGAACTATTTGATTGTTGGCTAAAAATTCATGAATTTGTTAAATTTTTATATTTAAACAAACATATTTTTAAGTGTTAAAACTTTAAATTTGTTCAGTGAATTTTAATAAATGTATTTAAAAATCAACTAAGACAATGTTAAAAATAATTTCTATATTAGGTCTTATAATCGCTAATTGAATTGATTAATATGTCTATAAATTATACATAAACTAACTAAGGAAACATTAAAATATTACCTGTCAAAACTATTTGGTTGTTTTGTAAGTCTATTTCTAGATTGGCTGCGTTCATCTCGTTTCCATATATCCTAAAATTTTTAAAATCTTAAATAGGTATCATCTGACCTATTTACTTCATTTTTATTTAGATTATCACTCACTTGATCAGTATTCCCAAAATTTTGTTCTAATGAAAGACTTTTTCTATACAAACTACCTCTAATTGGAGGCTTATCATGGAAATCATTTTCAGTTGATGATGACCTACACATAAATTAATTATAAATATCTATAACCTTGTATTTAATTGTGATTTTTCCTAGATTGTTATTGGTTAAAATCTAAAATTTACGACCCAGAAAATAATTTTTAAAAAAATAAATAAATAAAAATATACATGTACGTTAAAACAGTTATTTTTACAATAATTTCTCTATGTTAGTAATAGATTTAAAGTTACATAATACATCAATTATTTAATAACATTGTTTGAATATATAGGTATATATATTTTTAATATATCTTATTATTAATCTATATAATATTATAAACAGTTTGTTAATAATAATAATAATAATAATAATTTTTATAAAATTATTATTTTTTAATAGGTTTAAATTAAAATTATATTATTTGCAGATTTTTCAATGAAATTAAGGAGACTAATTAATTAGCAACAATATATTTTACCTGACTCCAAATACTGCACGTTTTGATCTGATATCTGATTGATTTGTATTTATTACTAAATCTTTAGTTATCTCATTAACTTTATTTAATAATTGTTTAATTTGTTCATTATTGTTGTTATTTAATATTTGACTGGAATTTAAATCTGGTGATGCTTCTCTAGATGTAGACGATTTTCTTCTAGCTGGTGGTGTAGGCGCAATTATCGAATTTATAGATTTATTTGTCAGTTCATGGTTTTCATTTACCATTATAGTTAAACTTTTGATCAACTGTGATAAATTATTAATTTTAACCTCAATTTGAGGATCAGTTCTTAGCCGAACATTGCATAATCTTAAAGACTCACATTCTTGTTCTATTTTGTCTTTTTCTTTTCTTAATTTTTCATTTATTGTTCTTAGCTTTGCATGAGCATCTCGCAAATCCATTAGATCACATTGCATCTAATAAATATTGTGCAAATTCTATTAAAATATTATAAGTAAATATATTCTGTAGTTGAATAATATTTAATATTGACATTTAAATAAAATAAATCTATGATTGCATATGCTTAGGTATTAATTTAATATTAACTTCTAAAGTACATATAGGTAATATATATATATATTATTAAAAAAATTAATATTTTAATAGTTGTTTATTTATTTTATAATAAGAATTAAAATTTAATTAAAACATGTTTAGTACCTGTTTAAGAACTCTTTTATAATACTATTATAATACGCATAGAACAGGTTAGCCCTTAATAAATATAATAGTTGAAAATGTTGAAATATTACTATATTATTGATAAATTTTAATATATTATTGTATACACTTTAAATTATAAAACGTAACCCATGACTAAATTAATATTTAATTTATGCTAAAATTATTTAATATAAAAAAAAATTTAATATCGTATATAAAATACTATTTGTTATGTTAGATTGTTTTAGCTAAAATATTTTGAATATCACATCTATATAAAGATAATTTACAATATTTTGCATAATTTATCTAACCTCATTAGTTTTCTTCCTATTTTCTTGTTGATCAATCTCCATATTTTTTGTAAGCTGATCAATACGCCTTTTTGATTCTAAACGATCCTTGTCCCTCTCTCGTTCAACCTTTCAACATTAATGAACAATTAAATATTAATATGGCTTATATTATTACATACTGTATAAAATAGTATTTTGATTTACTTCATATAATGTTTGTCTTAAATCTCTAGCTAATGTTGATGTCTCTTGCAAAAGACGTTGTTGCTCTTCACGTTCTTTTTGCCATGCAAGCTCCATTCTAGCCTTCAAACCTGTTAATTTAGATCTTCCTGAATTTAACAGTCGTTCTTCTTCCAACTGAAACATTAACAATTAATTTATACATATAATTTAATATTAAAAGAAAACAGACTTTATTAATAGAAGATGTCATTTCTGATTTTGTTATTTCCCAAGCTGACTTTTCTGATACTAATTCTGTTTTCAACCTCGAACATTCAAGTCTTGCTTCTGAAAGTTGTTCTTCCATACAAGATACTTGTTGCTGTAAATTGTGAAATTCTTCTTTCTAAAGATTACAATTTAAATAAACAAAAGTTTAGCCAAATCTGAAAATTAAAAAGTATACAAATGATAGGTACCTAGATATTACCTGATTATCATTATTTTGAACCTTACAATTTCCTTTTTGATAGTTAGAATCTGCTGAATCCAATATTTGTTTAAATGAATCACGTTCTCTTTTGAATCTAAGTGTTTGAAACTGACTGTTCTTTAACTCTTCAGAAAGAACTGACATGCGATTGTCATAACGTACTTTTAAAGCAGCAACTTCTGTTTTTCTAGCTTGTTCTTCATTGTATAGCCTACAAGATTATTTACATTGCTTTAAAATTAAAAAACTGTTAAACCTTTTTTTTTTAAACCAACTTTATTTTCATGTCTTTTAGATTTTTTTCCAATAATTCTGTCTCCATTGACCTACTGTGTTGGATTTTGACAACCTTCTCAAAATCATCTAAATTCCTTTGTAAATTTTCATTCTAAAAACAAAATATTTTGTTAAAATACATTATCTCAAATAATAAACTATTAATTTATTTACATCTTTTTTAAGTTTTTCTATCTGTTCTATATACTGACTACATTGTTTATTTAATGTTCTTATTTCTTTTAAATATTCATCCAAATTCTTTTTCATAGTTTCTTTCTCTTTTATCCACGAATCATTTGAATGAGCTATTTCTAGATCCTTTAATTTGTTCTACAACACACAATAATCAAATTTTTTTTTTTATGACTTTATTTTGGGATATTACAATCTATACAGGTGTACAATAAGTAATAACCAGGGCTCAGAAGTTATAGCAAATGCATATTTTTCTTGGTTCGTTCTAGAACATCTAAAGTAAAATACAAATATATTTCACACTTCACTGATTGACTGATGTCATACATGAAATTTAATTTGGCTATTTTTTGCATATTTGCTGTTTTTATTGTTATTTTGCTAATTTAGTGTTTTTAGTGCTATTTTAGGTAATATTTTCACATAATATATGAAATATTCGCAATTTATTAAAAATAATAATTTACTTGGTTATATTTTTAAAAATATTTGAATTCTTTAAGAAATTTTTTACTTTTTAATTGTAAATTATGAAATTGTAAAATTATATTTAATTTTTTTTTTAATAAATTTATAATTATTTCAAGTTGAATGCATATTTTTATGATTTTACAAGCTATTTATAGCGTATATTTTAGAGTTTTGAAGTGCATATTCAAGATCTAAAAAGTAACATTTTTAGTGCTACAACTTTCAAGCCCTGGTAATAACTATGATAAAAATGAAAAACTAAGAACTAATGAAAACATGTTAGGAAATCTCACGTTAAGGACACCTAATGGCTTTACATTAACATTTACAGTCAATAATCAAATTAAAAATATTTATAAAAACATCTAAAGAATTTAAATTAACCTGCATTTCCAATTTTTCCTTGTTCCATAAATCAATTGAAATGTTGTATTTATCTTTCAATGCTTTTAACTCCACTTCAACTTTTAATGCATCTTTTTTTCTACTTTCTAACAAACTAAAAAATAATTATAGTTATTATTTGAGTAGATTCTTCAAAAGTATAATACTATAATAAAATAAAATTAATAATTATATTTTTAAAGAATTGAAATCATAATAATTGTGTTACACATTAAAGTTTTTATACCATTGTAGTTTTTCTTTTTCTGCTGTCATTTTACTTTTAGCATCTATATGTTCTTTTTGCAAAATTTCATATTTGTTTAAAATATCTTTGTAATTCTTTCGTTCGATTATCATTTCATTTTCTATTCCTAATAAATTATTAAATTGTTATACACATTAAAATACTAAGATAATTAAGTAAATATTGTATAATAGCATCTACTTTTTATTTTTTTTTCAAATTCATTTTGAATATTCATAATTTTTTTATTTTCTTCAAAAGTCGATTGTTCTTGTAATTTTTTTATACATTCTTCTTTGTTTATTAATTCTTTTTTATGTATTGATTTTAAACTTTCAATCTGTTGTCTCTCACTCTATACAAGTTAATAAATAATATCAATAAAATAACACTGCAGGCGAAAAATATAAGTAATTATGTAAACAATTTAAAAATGAAATTTACATTCAAAAAACAAAAACCTATCTCAATTAGAATTTAAACAATTCACCTTAAGTTGGTTTTCAAGGTCTATTGTTTTAACTTCCAACTGCTTAACAGCCTTTGTCTGCTTATCAAAATCAGCTTTAACCTCTTTAGTCTAATAATAAAAATAAATATTACATAAATTGTATTATTATTTGTTTATATGTTAACTATAAGTACTAACATTACCTTGGTTTGTGCCGGTTTGGATATTGGTTTATAAGTTTTTTTAGATGCTAATTTAGTTTGATATTCTAAAACTTTAGCTTTAAGTTGATCTTTTTCTTCTTCAAATTCTTCTATTTTTCTTTTTAGCACTGTAATTTCCTATAATTTAAAACATTTAATATTTAAACTAAAACTTGTAGACTACGTATTCATGAAAAGATATTATTTTTGTAACAATATATTTGAATGATTTATGAAGAATTTATACAATTATTTTAAAAGTTTGTTAATACTTATATAATAGTTGGTAGGTTATAAAATAATAAACAAATTACTTGTTCACTGAGCTCAAGAAGTAATTTTAATTCTGTTGCATCTTCAACATCTGAAATTCCCTCATCTCTGTCAGCAATATTTGTTGGACGATAACCTATAAATCAATTTTTTTTCGTTATTAATTGAAAGAAATGTATAATTTAATATTTACTTGTTTTTGTAGCCATTTTCTTGAGTTGCAATACCATTGACTCGTTATCTTCTTCTAAACGACTTACTTTGTTCCTCAACATTTTAGCCTACAATTTGTATTTTACTGTATTTATTGTATTTTAAGATTTACGTTAGGTATAAAATCCAACATTAGTTTTAAAATATTACTTCTTCTTCAGAAAATCTTAATTGCTCTCTCATATCAGCTTCTCTTTCAATTGAATCTTGTAAATCCCTCTGAAGTTGAACAGGATCTTCTTGGGAATCACCTCGAGTCAATGATTCTCTTGAAACCCTCTAAATGTTTAAATAATAAGTTATGATAAAATAACAAAAATAATATATTTTTTTGTTGTTAATTCATAAACATTAATACTTCTCCAGATGCAGTCTTAGGTATCATGCCCAACATAGGTCTTTTTTTTTGATCCCCTTGTGATACATTTGATTTAGATTTTTCTAAATCCCCTTGTAATCGTTCTATTAACTGTAAATAAAAAAATATGTTTAAATAACAATAACAATATTTATTAGTATTTACAAAACTTAGTTATACCTCTTTAGTTTTTTTTTCATTTTCAATTTTTTCATTATCCAACTCTTCCATTCTTCTCTCAGCTTTTTTTAATTTAAATGCTAAAATTCGACAATTTTTTGAAACTTGGTCAAATTCTCTTTTTAGCATGATAAATTCATTGTCTTGTTCCTCTCTAAAATATGAATTTTGAATTCAAAATATTTTCCATAAGGCATGTTTGTTTTAATTTAAATAAAATATTCTTTATATTTTTTTTAAAAATATCGCTAGATTTATCTTAGTAGCAAATAAAAATATATTTTAGTTAATTTTAGTAATTAGTTGGTATCACCTATTAAAAATGTATAAACCTAATTAAATAACTTAAATGAGATTCTGAACGATTTAAAAGAAAAATTTCCAAATAGGTACTTTTCAAAATCATTGCCTACGAAAAACAGTTCTGAACATAGACAAAATGTCAGATATTTTATTATATATTCATATTGCTATTCAAGTAATTAATTTTTATTCTAGTAAGATAAGAAATCTGAGCATATTTTTTTTACAAAAAAAAAAAAAAAAACACGTGTATTAATATCATTTTTCATTGAATATTACTAATTATTTTTAACTTATAAGTCAATATATCCTACTGTAGATCAATATAAATAGGTTCATGGTAAAAATAGCTAAAAAAATAACTAATAATTATCATTGAGTTAAAATGTTTCAACCATAAGAATAAATTAATAAAAACTTTGTGTTACAGATATTATTTAAATAACAAGTGACAATATAAATTAGGAAATCTTTATGGAACAATATTTATACTTATATATTATACTTGTTTGGGGCCTGCAGCACGATCGTTTGTAAGGAGTTGTGTATAGGAAATTATCCAAATTAGATACACAACTTTAATATAAAATACCTTTAGTAGTATATCTATTTCCAGGTTAAAAAATGGCTATAGCTTATAGGAATTAACAATAGCTGTTATTTTTTAATCCAATAATCATGAAGTGTAACAATTATTTTAAGAGATTAAAAATTAATTCTAAATTATACATAATGTACCGAAAATTATCTCTCATCTCTTGCTCCATATTATGTATTTCTTTATTTAAATCATTGTTTTCTTCTGTCAAATCCTCAATTTTAGTTTCAGCAGCTATTAACTTAGAACGAACCAACTGAATATCATCTGACTTCATTTTAATATTCTTGTTTTTATTCAGCTCAATTTCTAATTCATGAACACGTTGTGTAAGAATTCTCTTTTCATCACTGAGACTATCACAAGTAGATTTCAAATCATTTATCTTTTGTTGGTGCTTCAATAACTATCACAATTAATGTTATTAAAATTTGTTTTTATTTTATAATTTTTTGTTTTTACTTCAGAAGCTGTTGTACGAGATGTCGGTGTAGTATCCAAAGACGCTAGCCGTCTTAGTAAAATATCACTTTTTTCTCGTTCTGCTTTTTCACATTTTTCTTTGGTCAATTTTAATTCAGCTTTTAAATGCATTACTTGGTCCTGAAATTAAATATATTATTGTATTTATTTTTACGTTCATTGGTTAATTGACTAAAATTATACATTAAACTGTATTATGCTCACATGTAAATCTTCTTCATTTATAATAGTAGCATAAGTATCAGTTGTAGTATCAGAGTCAGCTAAACTAATAGTATCTTCATCATCATTATACATATTTTTTTCATTTGGCATTGATTTCATCTAAAATAAATCAATTTAAAACTATAACCTTTGTGAAATTTTGACTTCCCAAGTGAATATTAACATTGTTATGATGATATTAACATGCACCGGTGTATATTGGGCGATATCTCCATTGTAACTATTTCTTGGACTATCTACATCCACAGAATCCTTGCGTGAAAGATTTGTTCTTCTCCGAACCGTGTATTCTGGAATTTCTTGTTGTTCATTATCTAGAATAAAAAGTAAACAATATAATAATTATGTACACTGTCTGAAGAATCGTACTTTTAGAAGTTTCAATTACCTTCTAATTTTTTAACTTGGGATGTAACACTATCTGAAAGTGTTGTCAAGTCTGGCGTTGATGTCCATGATGTAGTCTTTTGACTAGGTCCACAACCTTTGTCTATTTTAACGTAGTTTCCACTATTGTTTGTTATCATATCTGATGATATATTTTTTAAACTTATTGATTCATTTGCCCTAAATTAATAACTATGATGTTTTTGTGTTTTCTTAAAATAAATCACTAAAATAAGGGTTTACAAACTCGTTATTTAAAGATGGGGTCGATAGTGTAGTATCATCTTTTCTAAGTGATGACTTTCCATTATCTTTATTTCTGTTAGAATGATCTTTATAGTCCCTGAAAACATTAATAGTGATAAATATAAAATACAACTTTAATTTTAAATAGTCTTGCTAATAGACAAATACGTAAAAAAGGTCACTTATTTTTAGAACACTAAGTTGAGTAGATATTTTTTAACTTTATCTGTGGAATAATTAAAAAAATATTAATCAATTTCTGTATAATTAATCATGATTTAAAAATTTTAAATGTATATTTTATGGTAGGCATACCTATATTTTTATTAAAAAAGTCAATCAAAATATATTATTTAAATTATGTACAAATAGTAAAATCTGAATCGTCTTAAAATTTTAATAATTAAAAATAAATATAGATACATGAAAATGTATTTCATATTTTTCTTTGGAAAATTCCAGAATTTTCATTTTTAATACTCAGTAGGTAAGTATTATATTGGTACTTCATAATGTATTTAATATGGTAAGTACTTTGATACGCATAATTAGAGAGGTGCTTGCTACTTAAGCATAGTCTTTAGATCATAGGTTCTTAACCGGGGGTCCGTAGATGGTTACTCCGGGGTCCGCTCAGAAATAAATTTGTTTCGATAGCGTTTTTAAGATAACAATAATAATGTCTTGCTCGCATTTATTTGATTATATATATATATATATATTTTTTGGCGGGGGGTCCGTGATTATATTTTGTACTTTAAAAAGGTCCATGGACCAGAAAAGGTTGAAAATCTATGCCTTAGATGATTGATATAGGTATAGCTGATTAAAAATTAGCATCTCGGCCGAATTATATCAAACTCTTTGAAGTTTTTTTATTTATTATATTTAAAATTTAATTAAATATTACATTAATCATCATAGCACACACGCATATTTAAATTATTGTTATAGACATTTATTTTTCTAGTATTTTTTATGTAAACTTTCTATTTAGTTTGATTTTGCATGTAATTTAGTCTTACATCGATATTTTTGTAACTGATATAATATAGATAACATACGTGTATTGGAAGTATAGTTACCTACATAAAATATTTAGAACTAGTAATAAAATTACTTATATGCATTGTCGAAAATAAAGAGGGAGATGGCAGAGCTATTGCAAACCTTAACTTGATTTTATTGCATTCTTCCTGGCAAATTCCAATGTGAAAAAAATGTTACTACTTTTTTTTTTTACAAAATAATATATATAATACGACCTATTTTTATACTATATGAAAATCTATAATACCTTTTAGTTAATAATAATTAATACGTTTATTCATTTATTCTTGATATACCTATTCTCTAAATGATAAAAAAAAAAATAATAAACTTAAGAAATTATTTTTGGTAAGTAATGGGGATTTTTATTGTCATAATGGTGTTTCTAGAATGTTAACCGATGCTTTGAAATAATTTCGATTTGCACCTAATTTGTAAATCAAATTTTTACCAGTTAAAAAACCCGCAATTTAGTACCCCCAAAATATTATTTTTTACTTGTAGTTGCGCCAATGCTTCAAAAGTCAGAATATGTATTCATATACTGATAAGTATGTATAAATTCATATAGATACAATATAATATAGAAAAATTAGAAAATATCTACAGTAAAATGATTAAATTATTTAAATTTAAAACTATCTACCGATGTCAATAAGGCAAACTTGTTTATTATAGGTATTATGATTTTTTTTGAATTTATTTAAAACTATATATACACCGGAAATAAGTATAGTTAATTTGATTGTCTTCTAGAATTATACAACTATACAAGGTTATTCTGATAAATGTTAATATTTATTCTACATAACTGCATTACATACGCACAGATTACCTATAAACGATAATACCTAATTGTGAAACATGCAGTGGTGTATTGGATTGTGCATAAGGATATTAGGTTCAACTCTTCCTAACCATTGACGCACGCATTTTGTTCAAATTCATGAGGAGCTAAATTATTGAATATTCATAAATTTGAAGAATTCCTTTCCTTCTAGTGTTTTGTACATGAATAAATATATGATATAATATTATTAAGTATCAAAAATCAATTATTGATTGATTTTTTATTGATGAGATAGTTGAAAATTCATTGTAGTAATTTCTTTGTAAAAAATTGGTAGTATTTCTCTGATTTTTGTCCCCGTAAATTTCAATAGGTTTTCTCGCTATATTAATTATACAATACATGTTTACAATTTTTTTTTTATATAAAAAATATAAAATAGATATGTCATTTTTGTACTCCCTCCCATAGTCTCATTGAAAAATTCTGATACAAATCTGTAAAGATGTATAAATTATAATACTAAAGTTGCCTAATAAATCATGAAATACATATAAAAAAAAAACCAATAATATGTATAATATAATATTGCCATTGCCATATTATTATTTTATACTAGTAGGTAATACAAATATAGTTCACCTGAAACATCGTTTGCATTTGGTTGGCCAACGAACTTGTGGGTGGAATCCAAGCGGACATAGCGGGTCGCCTTTTGCGGACGGTTTAACGTGTTGCATTTTTACGAACTAATTTCCAAAAAATAATAACAATACACGCACACACATTCGCGTGCAATTCGTTTCTGTTACACACACCACATACACGATTCTATTAATATATCCGTCAAACTATATTTGAATATATTATTATGCATATATCCAATGTGTGATACGTATTATGACTGTCGTTTATAAAATGTAGACACCTCCTCTAAAAATGATGTTTTACCTGTTCCCAATCATCATCGTAGCGCTCGTTAGAAGAGCTAGTCGTTTGGCGAAAACTCGCGTACTGAGCTCGACACACTACACACACATTTATTCCGCGCATTATTTTCGTTAGACCATTTCGATACGAACAATATAAATACATATACGTACCTATATATACACCATTTACATGTATTCCGTGAGACGTGATTCTTCGCTGGGATTTCGCTCCGCCCATGACTGCCCGTCTCGGTATAAATAAACTTTGCTCGTGCTACCGCCGCCGCCGATCTCTGCACATAGTATTATTATTACTCGACACACTTATATATTTTTTATCCGTCGTGAGCAGAGAATTGTGTGTGCGGTGTCAAGTGTAAACACGACAAATAGACGACTTAAACCTTAGGAATTCCCGTAATTTGGGATTCTGGAAGGAAAACTGAAATTTGTATGTGTATATTATAATACGCTTGTCGCCTATGCAATGACGCAATTTTAAGCCACGAGGCTTAGTCCTCCTATATAATAAAACAAAAAAATAACGTCTATGAAATATTTTTTTATTTTTGTTATTTTTCTCGTGTTACATGTTAATAAATTTGTATTATCAACAATGTTGAAAATCCGGTAAGATGGTAGAGGTGGGTGTAATTATTCTGTGTTATGCATACTTATAGAATTTTGAGTAGATTGTTTTTACGGTCGGTTTACAATAATTGGTTCAGAAAAAGGTATCTCATAAGAAAAAACACATTCCATGTAAACTGTAATAACAATAATACATAATAGTTAAATAACTAATACTTGCATATAAAATGGCTGAATGTTAATTGTATCTATAAAATATGTGTGGACCTTTCACGGGTTATTTTGAATTCAAAGTTTTGCAACACCCCAGAATTTTAATATCAATGCAGTAAAACTCAACACATAAAATCGATTCACACAATGTCTGTTAGAAACATGAAAAAAAATAATACAGTAGATTAGATTCAGTAGAACATACTATGCTATGTCTATTATATCATGGCTCATGACTGAAAGACGATTTTTTGCGTTTACTTTATTATTTACCGCTTAAAGTGGTATAGGTACTAAGGTACCTAACATGTCGACAGTTACCACTTACCGCCACATCGAGGCGCCATAAACACTCGGCACCCGTTATTATAATATATTACACGGCGTTTATTTATGTTAGATTTAAATATATCCACACCCGGCACTCCGCAGAATGCGTGTGGCGTGTATTGTGTATACAATATAATAATAAAAATAATATATTGTTCATTCAGATTATCGCATTAATAATTATTACAATACAATTGCTCCAATCACTCCTGGGATATCTAACCTATTTTCAGTGAAGTTGAGATAATAATAAAAAGAAAGTAAACATTTTTACACATTACAATCATTTCCTAGTATGTTATTTTTAGATGCAGTAAAAAACGTTAAGTTTGAAGAATAATTATAAAAGATAAATAGGTAATAATAAAATTTACAGATATAAGAATACAAACAGCATATTTACATTATACCTACACGCTATAATAACTAGATATATCTAAATTGTTTAGGTTATAAATTATTAACATGTTTTAATATAATGTTTATTATGACGGTAAATAATTTGAATTGGAACTTGATTGAATAAACTTAAATCTACTTGTCGTTGGGATTTTAATGTATTATACAATATTATATTCAACATTTAAAATCTTTGGCTGTCGATTTGATTGCCAAATCTTCCAGCAGGTGTACATATCGTGCGCGTATGGCGAACGCCTAAAAATAAACGAGACGCGATTGTGTATGTGTCTGCAGCAATAGGTCAGTGATGTAGTATTATAAATTATAGTGTATCTAAGTAGGTAATGAGTAGGGTTCGGATTTAAAGGCAAAAGCCTTTTTTTTTAATAATTTTAATAGAAAAATAATTTTTGTATAAAAATGTGTTTCGTTTAATATCTAAGACGGTGGATGTATTTTTTTTTGTTTTTTTTACTTATAAATGCATTTTTGCTTTTTTTGCCTACGGTACCAATCGATGAGATGTGAAGACAGTGCATTGTCAATTTTATATTTAAAATTATTTAGAATGGGTTAACAATTAGAATGAAGAAACAACAAGTGAAGACGGTTTAATAAGAAGCAATCTTAATTTAGATTATTATTTATGTATAAAATACACCCCAATAACTTCGACGGACGTAGAAAGATCATTTTCTATATATTGTACAAAAATATTTTGAGCCCAAACCGTCAACGTTTTACTGAAGATGATAGCTTACCATCTATGTACATGATAGTGAATTTTTTTTTAATACCAACTAGTTAGTATATTAAACTTTGTTGTATATTTTTAAATTGCTTTTTTATATAAATTAAATGCTTTTTTTGTCTTTTTCAAATTTTAAATATTTTTTTTTTATTGATTATATTGCCTTTAAATTTGAACCCTAGCAATGAGTAATGACTATAATGACTAGGTAATGATTAAGAGGGGATTTTTACATTCTTAAACTTAAGAGATTAAAATATGAATCTAATGTGCTATAAAACACCCTTAAAATATTTTTTATTAACCCGCTTAATTTGATAAAATATGCCATTTTTAACAAATATAGTTTAAAAAAAATATAGGTACACCAGTCACGATAAGAAACATAAGTACCAGCTATAATAATATATTATGTTTAGTGTTTACATTAAACTTAATAAGTTTGTAATATTTACAAATATCATGTTTGATGTTATTATCCATTATCCATTAATTGCAGATTGCAGTAGGTAATTAGTAATTACACACTGTGTTGCGGCACATTGTGTCATATCCTTAAACTTAAAAAAATCGTTTTAGCGTCACATTTATAAAATTAAATAATTTCCAATTTAATTATAAACAAGAACGGTTTTTATCATTTTTCATTATTAGATATTTTTATTCCTGTAACGACATAATTACAATTCGATTAATTAACAGAATATAGGTTTTATCTCACAAATAATCAAATAATATATTCTTAAATATTAAATAGGAATAGGCTAAAATATTTACTAATCTCTAAAATATACTATCATAATATGTGAAATATATTTTTTTATGAATAAGATGTCTACATTTTTCGACTTCACTGATTACATAAAATCAACACTAAGAATTATTATAGAAACCTAAACATCTGAACTCTACTGTATTATGAATTATGATACTATTGATAATAAATTATGAGTATTTTATTAGATTATGGGTAAGCATATTTTCGTAAATGTAAATTGTTATCATTTAATATTTTGACCTATATTGATGCTTATTCAGCCTATTAATATAAATACGACTATAGTTCGGTAAAATAGGTAATACTGTAAGGTCTATATGCACAGTGTACATTGAAATTAAAAAAAATAATAATACCTTATGATTAATATTATGTTGCCACGATGGTTATTTTTAAAACGAGAGCTGCGGTGGTGGTACTCTGTAGGATTTAACTACAATATATTTTTAATCGTTAAAATATACACGCATTCTCATTAAGTACCTATATATCATTTTTCAAAATTATTATTGTGAAACAATAGATGCACATAGAATATTATGTAAATATAGAACATAATTGTATCAAAGTAATATACAGAATATAGTAGGTAATAGGTATACATGAAACTGATAAAATACAATAAACAGTATTTAATTTTAACTACGGTTTTTCTCAGGTCCTGGCTCCGACCTAGGGTTCACTTGAAGCAAGTTTCCACTAACCACTAGTAGGTTCATAAATCATGATGAGTTTGGAAGACATAATATGAGGGACGAGGGTTGGATGATTTGACATTTTTAGTAATTAATATTAATCTATAAATATTTATAATTTATAATTTTAATATTATTAATATTTTTTTTTAAATAGTTCAAGAATAATAAATACTAGATCTTATATTAAATCTATTTATATTTTTAAGTTGTTATCCTACTTATTGCTAAGACATATTACCCTTATTATAAACATTTTAATTATAATAATAATTCAATGAATAATTTAAAGTAAATATAGAGGATGTAGGTAGATACCTAATTAAAAAAAAAAAAAAAAAAAATAAAAATTTGTATCATTAAGAAATATTCTTGAAATAGTACAAAATATATCAAAAATTTAGAAATATGGTACCTATTTGGGCACATTTAAAAATTCCAAAAATCAGAATTTGAATACATTTATAATTAAAAGAAATAATGGGAGTGACATAGGCGTAACTAGACCTTAAAGTTAGGGGGGGGGCTTCAGGCCTAGAATTTTTATTATAAGTAAATTAAGTGGGGGGCTCTACCCCCCAAACATCTTACATTCATTGATTATACATATAATATGAATGTAAATTAATATTTAATTATAAAACAAATAATAAACCAAGTGGTATTGAGGTTAAATATTTATACATTAACATATTATTAAGTATTATTTTAGATATAAAGAATTTAACAATTTTTAGTTTATTGACAACTTCTTAGTAGGGAGTATTTATGTAGTAAAAATTACACAACATGATATGTCTTACACAATTACACAAGATCATTACATACAATATAATATAGTTTAAATTAATATTTTTCCAGGATATTAATAAAAAAAATAAAACGATATTTTAAATTTAAGTTTAAAAATGTTATTACTATTGGCGGGAGTGTGGGACTAGGAATTATGACAGGGGGTTTAAAATTTATGTTGGAGGGACTAAGCCCCCCCCCACAAAGTCCCTCCTAGTTACGCATATGGGGGGTGAGCATTCTGTAGGTAAATTATCTTCTATGGTATATACGAGTGTAAAATAATTTGAACATAATAATAAACTATAGTTATTTGATGGACCTAATCAAAAGTAACGTGATGTGAGGAGTAGGTACCTAGTTGTCAGTAGATTGTTCCCAACTAGGTAAGTACCTATTTTATATAATAATGATATTTTATAATGAAAATTGAAAATGTATTTACTTATGATAATATTTAGATCTGTTTCAAATATTATATAATTGACAAAAATTAAATTTTCTATTGTTAATATAATAATGGTAGGTAACCAGTGGCGTATCCAGGATTTTTTTAAGGGGGGGGCAC